AAGACAAGGGGGAGAGTTGATCAAGGTGATAGGGGATCCTGTTATGACCAAGACTGAATTATCTTTTGAGGCATTCATGCAAGTGCTCCAATCAGAGGGGGAAGGTCTGTTGTTGCAATGTGGGACAAAAAATAATTCGGAAAAGATTGAGCAGAAAATTCCAGCTCCTGTGCAGAAATTGTTGCAAGGTTTCCAGGATGTCTTCCAAGATCCACAGGGTCTACCTCCTAGTAGAAGACATGATCATGCAATTCATTTGAAGGAGGGATCTGTAATTCCAAATTTAAGGCCTTACAAGTATCCTCACTATCAGAAAACGGAGATTGAAAGACTAGTGATGGAAATGTTGATGGCAGGAGTTATAAGACATAGCATCAGTCCTTATTCTAGCCCTATCATATTGGTCAAAAAGAAGGATGGAGGGTGGAGATTTTGTGTGGACTATAGAGCTTTAAACAAAATTACTATTCCCAATAAATTCCCTATTCCGATCATAGAAGAGTTATTGGATGAGATTGGAGGGGCTTCTATTTTCACCAAACTTGATCTCAAATCTGGCTACCATCAAATAAGAATGAAGGAGACGGATATACCAAAGACAACATTTAGAACTCATGAGGGACACTACGAGTTTGTTGTCATGCCATTTGGTTTAACCAATGCGCCAATAACATTTCAAGCATTGATGAATGAGGTTCTTAGACCTTATTTGAGAAAGTTTGTTTTGGTATTTTTTGATGATATTTTGGTATATAGCCAAGATGAGCAATTTCACATAGACCATTTGCAAAAAGTACTGCGAGCTTTAAGGGATAATTCTCTAAAAGCTAATTTGAAGAAGTGTACTTTTGGACAGAAAAACTTGGAATATTTGGGGCATGTTATTTCAGAGAAGGGTGTGGCTGCTGATGAGGCCAAAGTAGCGGCTATGAGAAATTGGCCTATACCAAAGGATGTTAAAGGCTTAAGAGGATTCCTTAGACTCACGGGGTACTATAGAAGGTTTGTTCAAGGGTATGGAAAAATAGTCAAACCTCTTACTGATTTGCTTAAGAAAGACAAGTTTTATTGGTGCGAGGAGGCTACTGCAGCATTTCAACAACTGAAAAATGCTATGGTTGCTTTGCCACTTTTAGCTGTCCCAGATTTTTCCAAGGTGTTTATCATAGAAGCGGATGCAGCTAGTAAGGGTATTGGAGCTGTTTTGATGCAAAAAGGGAAACCTTTAGCTTTTTGGAGTCGAGGCCTCTCTCCTAAAGCTCAACAGAAATCAGTCTATGAAAGGGAGCTTATGGCGTTGGTTCAAGCAGTTCAAAAATGGAAGCATTATCTGATGGGCCATCATTTTATAATTAGGACTGATCAACGAAGTTTGAAATTTTTGAATGATCAAAGATTTTTCAGTGAGGAGCAGTTTAAATGGGCAGTCAAGTTAATAGGGTTTGATTTTGAAATTCAATTCAAACCTGGAAAGGAAAACACAGTGGCCGATGCTCTTTCTAGGAGAGAGATGTATTCTGCACTCTCAGTGGTTAATATGACAGAAGTTGAGGAGTGGTTAGAGGAGGTCCAATCAGATCCTAAGTGGCATCGAATCATTCAGGATTTGCTCCTAAATCCAGAGGCTCATTCTGGGTATACTTATAAGAATGGTAAGTTGTTGTATCATGGTAGATTGGTGTTGTCCAAAGATTCTAATTGTATCCCTAGCATTATGGCCGAATGCCATGATGGCCCTACGGGAGGTCATTCTGTTTTTTTTAGAACCTACAAAAGGGTATCCAGTTTTTTCTATTGGGAAGGTATGAAAGGATATATTAAAAAGTACGTTGAAGCCTGTGAAGTTTGCCAAAGAACGAAATATTCAACCTTGAGTCCTGGAGGTTTACTGCAGCCTCTCCCTATCCCTACACAAGTTTGGCAAGATATTTCTATGGATTTTATAGGAGGTTTACCTAGATCAAAAGGGAAAGACACCATTTTGGTAGTTGTGGACAGGCTGACCAAATTTGCCCATTTTTTTTCCTCTGGGACACCCCTATACGGCCAAGGAAATAACAACTGTTTTCCTAAAAGAAATAGTCAGGCTTCATGGTTTTCCATCATCAATAGTATCTGATAGAGATCAAATTTTTCTCAGTCAATTTTGGCAGGAATTGTTCAGGTTGGCGGGTACTAAACTTAAACTTAGCACGGCTTATCACTCTCAAACGGACGGCCAAACTGAGGTAGTCAACCGTAGTCTGGAAACTTATTTGAGATGCTTTATAGGACCAAAACCTAAATCTTGGGTTGATTGGTTACCATGGGTTGAGTTTTGGTTTAACACCAACTACAATAGTTCAGCTGGCATGACCCCTTTTAAGGCTCTATACGGCAGAGACCCTCCTATGTTGATTAAGGGTTGCACTTTTACTTCTAAAGTGGAAGAAGTCAATCAATTGTTGTTTCAGAGAGATGCAGTGTTATCAGAATTGCAAAAAAATTTATTGAGAGCACAAGATTTAATGAAATCTCAAGCCAATAAGCACAGGAATGCAGTGCAGTTTGAGGTAGGTGATTGGGTTTATTTGAAGCTGCATCCATATAAATTGAAATCTTTGGCTAGCAGACCTTTTGCCAAGCTATCAGCTAAATTCTATGGTCCTTATCAAGTGCTTGATAAGATTGGAGAGGTGGCTTATAAGTTAGCTTTACCAGAGCATTCTAGGGTGCATCCAGTTTTCCATGTATCGTTACTAAAAAAAGCTATTAAATCCACTCAACAAATCCAACCTTTGCCACCAATGTTGAGTGAGGAGTTAGAATTACAAGTCCAGCCTAAAGAATTACTACAGTGGCGACATAATCAACAAGGGCAGACAGAGGTGTTAGTTCAGTGGGAGGATCTGCCACCTTGTGATAGTTCTTGGGAGAGTGTATCCCAGTTACAATCCAGTTTTCCACAGTTTCCACTTGAGGACAAGTTAGCTCTCATAGGGGGGAGTATTGATAGAGTCCGTCAGCTAGTAAGGCCAAGACCTCCAATTAAACACGTGTACTCCAGACGGGCTCCAGGCTGTAAGTAGAGGCAAAATTAGCTAAATGGTGATGGTAGTTAGTTAGGAAAAAGATTTAAATATGAGGGGATGCTCCTCTGTAAAGATAGCTGGGGGAACTTTGGGAAAAGTTAGTTGGAACGGATAGTTGGAATCCGTTGGGAAAATTCTTCCTCTTTTTACATTCAGTTTTCATTGTAATCTGATCTCTTTATCGACAATATTACCACTTCTTTATCCTATAACACATTGATTCTTGATAATAATATTCAGTTCCTATACTTCTTGTAATTTCTCTTTCCAGTTCTAACAAACTGTGAAATTCATTAGACATATATTCTCCTCTAGAATCCGATCTTACGATCTTTATGTGAGCAGAGAACTAGGTCTTAAGAAATGAGACAAGACATTGAAAGATAGAGAAAACTTCTGCCTTAGACCGAAGAAAGTATATCTAAGTAAATCTACTATAGTCATCTATGAAAATAACAAAATACTTATAACCTGCATGAGAAACAATAGGTGAAATCCCCCAAACATTACTATGAATAATGTCAAAACAATTATTTGCACGAGACGCTTTATGTGGAAATGGTAAGATTTTACTTTTACCAAGTTTACATGTAGCACAATCAAAAGAGACAGCAGAATCTTTATTGCCCAAAGAACCATATTTAAACAAGGTACTAAGTACATGAAATTTTGGATGTCCTAAACGATTATGCCACATTTTATTCACCTACCTATCATCAATACAAATAAGAAAAATTAAAGGAAAAATAGGACAATTTGTGGAAAAATAAAAGTATAGCGAAAAGAATCGTCCCACTTTAGGTCCCTTCAAGATTTGTGGAGGGAGACACAAAAACATTAGTTAAAAAAGGGGAAATATCACCAATAGAACTAATAGACAAAGACGCACCATCTGCTGTGTGAATTTTCTGATTTCCATCACAATTTTTTACATTAGATAGAGACACAGAAGAATTTGTCATATGGTTAGACGCTCCAGAATCAATGTACCAAGTTTGGGAAGAAAAATGAGGATTACCATTTCAGGAGTAAGTGTGTTTGTAGGAGGTATAGGAACAAAAGCAGAAGTAGGAAATGTAGCAGAACTGAAGCATTAACAAAGGCATGATCGCATTATTTTCCTTGCATTTTCTTTGATGAGATCAAAGCAACAAAATTCATTTCATCACTGATCCATCAACCGATAATACTACATACTTCTTACAGGTATAGGCAAGTATGGCTAATGTAACAGATTTAGTGTTTGTTTAGAAAAACTTCTTCATAAGTATCTTTAAAAGAAGACAATACAAAGGAAAATGGAACAAACTTCCTCATAAAAATAACGTACTTTATAAACTAATTTATAACAATTCTCTCAAATAAACTTCTCTGAAAATTGTTTTTTAGCTTATATATAAATGAATTATAGTTTATAGAGAAACTTATTTTATTTTTTCTTTTTATTTTCTTCTTCTTTAAGAAATAATGAAGTTTAGCCAAATATACTGTTAATGGACAAGTGATTTTGTCGTGCTCAAATTAATTTAGTGTACTGCTAACAATAAGTCCGTTATCCTTTATTCTGTGGCAGCAATGAACTTCTTCGACTGCTCCAATTTTTAATGCAGTTTTCCTTTCAAGCAAAAAATATAAAAAACTATAATTTCAAATCCTACGATTCACTAAAGTTCCTCTTGATTTTTCATGCTGTGTATATATACTGACATTCGCTTCAAGAGGCTTTCAACTCTAGCTCCAGTAATAAAAACTTCTTCTAGAACATAAATATTTTGCAACATGAAACAAACCGATAGGCGTGTATTGCATCTTTAAAATTACATCAACTAAGAATCATCATGAAACATATGTCACTTAAATTTACCAAGTGACTCCAGCCAAAAGTCCCAAGTGATGAATGAAAGTAAAAATTTCATGACACTCAACATCTCAATCACCTGAGTTTTCAGAGTTTATGGAGAAAATCTGCAGAACTGCTTCAATTGCAGAAACGTTCCAACTCTCAACATGTCTAACAATCTGTCAAACAAAAAAGTAGCAAACACTAGTTAACATGGATCTCAAATCACATCAATTGGTGCAACGGTATACGACAGAAACAATAGGATGCGCTTTGACTGACTCTGTAATCTTCATTTAATTCATAAATTGTGCTTCCGTCAATAGAAATCAGAGGCCTCCAAGGAAGCTTTAAGTTGGTCCTGCATATCAGAACCCCCAAAAGTAAATTAACAAAGAAATTCAGAATTTTAGGAGATGAAATCATGGAATGCAGACCAGGTATGTACCTTCAAATATCTACTTAGGCAATGTTTCCTAATTAATAGATGCATGGATACTTTAAAACTGATGGCCATCGAATGACACGTGACAAAACCTAAGGAATCAACAAAGATTATAAAATTGACAACTCTATAATAATTGTACCTAATTTCATTACACTGCAGTGCAACAAGCAGCAGCCCATTAGGGATCCTATTAGTGCTAAACTATGTGTGTGTGTAAAGGTAACGATGCCAAATACAGAATTTTACGTATATTCAGGAACATCACCGAATTATTTCTACAATGGCATTACACCATTTTGCTTTTAGAAGCATTTTATTAGTTTTTTATCAATGTATATATTGAGGGAACCAAGATAGTCTTCATCCATTCAATATATATATAGAGAGAGAAAGAAATAGATAGACAGATATGTTGATAGATCAGGTTGTACAGCCCAGTTAGCATTATACACCACAAGAGTCAAAATTAAGAAAAGGCTTATTCTATCTTTTTGAACAATTCATATAGCTATTGGACCCTATCTTCAGTTTCTGTGTTTTCGGTAACTTCTTAACCAAGGGAAGGAATACTAAGTGTTTGAAAAAAAGAAATATATATGGTTAATTAATGCAGATAAGGAGTGGGATAAGCACCTTAGTTTCCAAGATGCCAGCACAAAATTTGTGTCGGAATCAACATCCTGCATTATGAATTATGTCATGAGCAAAAAATGAAGATGTATCTTTTGTGTAAACGGTGTAGCCCGAGAGGATAATGTCCTTTGAGTTATAGTTAGGTCCAGAGACTGATTGAAAGAAACATCGAGCGATAAGGTGTTTAGTATTTAAATAAAGAGTCGCGAGAGTTGTAATATCAGGACTTTCAATTTGCATAGAAAGACAAAGAACTTAACAAAGAGAAAGATAAGCAAGCACATATAATCAAAAGATGAGTCCAGCACTTTTAAGGGTCTAATCTATTATAAATAGACTTCATATATGCATGTTGTAGTTATGTCATTCAATATAGGGTTTGCTTAACATAGCCATGCATAGCTTTATGTTTTGGGCTATATATATTTTTATATGAGATAGTGTACGGAAGTGTGCAGAGAGTTCACAATCAATATTCTTTTTGAATTCATTCTTTATCTCTCTTCCACCTTGATCCATCTTTGTTTAGTCCTGTTTTCACTCCTCACGAACCAACAAGTGGCGCCGTCTGTGGGAATAGAAAGATTATTCAAAGAATTGGCAACGAAGTTCGACATCGAGAAATTCACAGGCTCGAATGACTTCGGTTTGTGGAAGATCAAGATGGAAGCAATCTTGATTCAACAAGGTTGTGATGAAGTGTTGAAAGGAGAGTCGAACATGGCTTTAACTTTGACGCAAGCTGAGAAGAAGAGAATTATCAATAAGGCTAGGAGTGCAATCATCTTGTGTCTTGGTGATAAGGCACTAAGAGAGGTTGCAAAGGAGAAAAGTGTTGCTGGGATATGGGCAAAAATCGAATCTCTATACATGACGAGATCTTTGGCCCATAGGTTGTGTCTCAAACAACAACTTTACTTTATTCGTTCAAAATGACGGAATCAAGAACAATTGAAGAACACCTTGCGAATTTCAACAAAACCATCGATGACCTTGAGAATATTGGTGTAAATCTAGAAGATGAAGATAAGACTGTTATTCTTATGAATGCTCTTCCCAAAACCTTTGAGCATTCTAGAGATGCATTGTTATATGGAAAGGATCAATTGATTACCTTGGAAGAAGTTGTAACTTTAATTCGAACTAAAGAGTTCCAGAAGCTCCAAGATTCGAAGGCAACAGAGGAGGTGTCATCGAGTCTAATAGCCATGAAAGGAAAAGGGAAGAAAGAAGATGGTAACTGGAAGGAGACAAAACCAGAAAACAAGAAACAAGTTTGGTGTTTCAAATGTCAAAATGTTGGTCATATCAAGAAACATTGCCCCAGAGAAAGGTAAAGACACTCGGATGCAAAAAACAACTGATGTTGCTGAGGGCTCTAAAGGATATGAATCAGCCGGTGTTCTTGTGGCTTCATCTGAAGATTCGCAGAAAAATTGGGTCATGGATTCAAGTTGCACATACCATATGTGTCCGATGAAGGATTACTTTGAGAATCTTGAACAAAAAGAGTATGGAACTGTACTTCTTGGTAATAACAAGGCCTGCAAAGTGCAGGGAATGGGATAAATAAGGCTCAGAATGTTTGACAACCGTGAAATGGTGTTGCAGAGTGAGGTATGTTCCTGAGCTGAAGAGGAATTTGATTTCCAAAAGCTCATTTGATCTTATGGGATATTCCACGAAGGTTGATAATGGAGTAATGAAGGTATCCGCTGGAGCTTCTGTCATAGCCAAGGGCAAAAGAAGTAATAGATTATACATCCTGGAAGGATCCACAGTCATTGCACATGCCTCAATTACGAGTCAGACAATGAAAGACAAAACCAAACTATGGCACTTAAGGATGGGTCACATTAGTGAGAAAGGCTTGGTTGAATTGGAAAAGCAAAACTTTCTAATGGGTGACAAACTTCGAAGGCTGAATTTTTGTGATCAATGTGTCTTAGGGAAATCACACAGGGTGAAGTTTGGAACAAGTAAGCATACTTCAACCTGACCCTTTGAATATGCTCATGCTGATTTGTGGGGGTCATCCAGAACTCAAACTCATGGTGGAGGAGCATATTTTTCGAGCATTATTGATGATTTTTCAAGAAGGGTATGGATTTACATTCTAAAGAACAAATCTGAGACATTTCAAAAATTCAAGGAATGGCATACTCAGATTGAAAATCAACAGGGATCCAAACTAAAGGTTCTGAGAACAGATAATGGTTTGGAGTTTGTCTCAGAAGAATTCAATAGTTTTTGCAAGACTCAAGGAATCAAGAGGCACAGGAGTGTTGCTGGTACCCCTCAACAGAATGGTCTTGCAGAACGGATGAACAGAACTATCCTTGAATAGATGTATGCTTCTTGGAGCAAGTTTGTCCAAAGCATTCTGGGGAGAGGCTGCAAATACAGCAGTGTATTTGATCAACACGAGCCCGTCATCTGCTCTCGATTATAAGACACTAATGGAGGTTTGGAGTGGAAAGCCGTCTGATTACTCTAACTTGAGGGTGTTTGGTTGTTTGGCTTTTGCTCATGCCAAAGGGGACAAATTGGAAGCTCGAGCTGTAAAGAACATTTTTCTTGGATATGCTGAAGGAGTCAAGGGGTTAAGACTTTGGAGGTTAGATCCCAAACCCTCAAAATTGATCATTAGCAGGGATGTAACTTTTGATGAGACAAGGATGACATATCATTCTGAAAGTTCAGAATGCAAAATGGAGAAGGTTCATATTGAGGTGGAGTATTCAAATGGTAATTTGCAAAGGGATCTTTCAAATCCAAATGATGATCCTGATGAAATACCAGAAGATACTGGACATTCAAAGGGATCTGATCATACCATTAGAGATTACCAGCTTGTTCACGATAGAGAAAGAAGGGTCTCTAAGCCAACCAGAAGGTTTGGGGAGGCAGATTTAATCTGCTATGCCTTAAGTGTAGCTGAAGAACTTGAACACTCAGAAGAACCTAGGAGCTTTAGAGAGACACTTGAAAGCAGTGAAAGATAGCTTTTGCAATGTGCTATGGAGGAAGAACTAGAGGCCCTCAGGAAGAACAATACTTGGAGACTTGTGGAATTGCCAAAGGGGAAGAAAGTAGTTGGTTCCAAAGACGAGATACCTGGGGTTCAAAAGTCAAGACATAAAGCAAGGCTAATGGCTAAAGGTTTCACCCACGTCGAAGAAGTAGATTACAATGAAATCTTTGCACCTGTGGTGAAACATTGCTCCATAAGAATTTTAATATCCATTGTAATCCAGTTTAATTTGCATCTGGAACAATTGGATGTCAAAACAGTCTTCTTGCATGGAGATCTGGATGAAACGATCTATATGAGACAACTATAAGGGTTTGCTTTGGATGATAGGGTGTGTTTTTAGCAGAAATCTCTATATGGCTTAAAGCAGAGCCCAAGACAATGGTACAAAAAATTTGATGATTTCTTGATAAAGATGAACTTCAGGAGATGTAGTTTTGACAACTGTGTATATATCCTGAATCATGTAGACAAGTTGTATCTTCTATTATATGTAGATGGTATACTAGTTGTCAGTTGTAATAAGTGCATGATCAATAACTTAAAATCAAGACTGGACTCAGAATTCGAGATGAAGGATCTAGGTGAAGCCAGTCAAATTCTAGGTGTTGATATCAAAAGAGATCGACAGAAGGAAATATTGTTCTTATCTCAACAAAACTATATGCAGAAGGTGGTGGAAAGGTGTAGGATGTTTTGGTCCAAACATGTTGGCACACTTCTTGGACAACACATGAAGCTCTCAAAAAATCAAGGTCCAAAGTCTAAAGATGATAGAAAGAAGATGGATGTTGTACCTTACACTAGTGGAGTTGGAAGTGTCATGTATGGCATGGTTTGCATAAAACCTGGCTTGGCTCATGCTGTAAGTGTGTTAAGCAAATTTATGGTGGAGCATGGGCAATCGCATTGGGAAGCCTTGAAGTGGATGTTGAGATATATAAATGGATCTCTGGGTTCTGGTTTACTATATCGCAACAATTTTCAAGGTGGAGGTGTAATTGAAGGGTTTGTGGATGCAGACTTTGCAGGATGCTTGGATATAAGAAAATCTCCGTCTGGGTATGTGTTTACCTTGTATGGAACAGAAATCAGCTAGAAATCCAATCTCCAATCTGTGGTTGCTCTATCTACCACTGAAGCGGAGTATAGTGCATTGGCTGAAGGAATAAAGGAGGCCCTATGGTTGAAAGGAATGTTACTTGAACTAGGTATCAAACAAGAAACTGTTTGAATACATTGTGACAGCCAAAGTGTCATTTGCCTGGCCAATCATCAAATGTATCATGCTAAAACCAAGCATATAGATGTTAAACTACATTTTATCAGAGATGTAGTTGAATCAGGTGTAGTGGAGATCGTGAAAATTGCATCTGAAGTCAATCTTGCTGACATGCTAACTAAATATCTTTCAAAAGAGAAATTCATGAGATGCTTGACTATGATTGGTTTTGTTTGATGTTCAAAGAACTTGTTAAATGCATTCATAAAGTCTAGGTGGAGAATTGTTATAAATAGACTTCATATATGCATGTTGTAGTTATGTCATTCAATATAGGGTTTGCTTTACATAGCCATGCATAGCTTTATGTTTTGGGCTATATATATACTTTTATATGAGATAGTGTACGGAAGTGTGCAGAGAGTTCAGAATCAATATTCTTTTTGAATTCATTCTTTCTCTCTCTTCCACCTTGATCCATCTTTGTTAATCATGTTTTCACTCCTCATGAACCAACATAAATCATAACACAAATGGGTAATAAATGGTTTAGAGCATCTAGACCGTACATAATTCAAAATTAACGCATCTGGAATTGAACTAATTCAATGGTCAAGGTTTAATGTTATTCAAAATTTCAGGTCCAATAATTGCCAGTACCGAGCCTACTTAAACAGATAATTCTCTTTTTGTGTTGGGAAAAACCCACATGCAACAAGGGCAGATAATGGGAACAAAACACACCACAGATTAAAAATAGTGAAAGACACATAATTTACTATCTCTAATACAGATTACAAGTTTTCTAAACTTGTAAACCCCTCTCCAAAGCATCATCCTACAAGCCTACACTTAAACATTACAAGGAATGATAATCGTTTTCTCTCGCGGAAGAGAATATGTCACATCTCTTAGAATCTTGTTTCTTCTGCTACGATGCATAACCCCTCTTTAGGTTGGGGCGGTGTGGCTCCATCCAGCTTCCCAATAGCCACCTAAAAATTTAATCTCCTTCATCTAAGGATAAATGTAAAATTCTCATAAGTCAAAGATTGGATTCCATTAACATCATACTTCACAATGCATTGGAAAGGAATCTCCCACTTTAGTTAATGTTTAGAAATTTAAATTGATTTTATCAAAAATATGGAAATTCTATTCACATCACTAAAACTTGACCATTTTATCAATATAACTATGGAATATCTAAAGTCCAAACGCTAAAGAACCATCCTATGACAATAGACAAAGGAAAAATTAAAGCTTTTTGATCATGAATAGATCACTCTTTATCACTCCCAGTTAATGTGAATCTTCTTATTGTGTAACCAAGACAAGTGTAAATGGATTAATGAGGAAGATCTAAAATACTGAACTTTTCTCTGGACAAGAGCTCCAACAGAGAGACAATCTCTTATACATACATTCTAGTGTTACGAGTAGCGAGTATAAAAATGTTAATTTACAGAGAATATCTACCTTCTCAATCTTTTGTAGTACAATTGATGCACAGGCAAAGAATGGAACAAGCAATTTCAAGTTTCGTGCGTATAACTCCCTACCTGTATGACCATGCATCATAGCTTCAGTTAATTGAACATTGTTCAAAGGGATGTTTTCTTTTTTTCAGTGACAACAATGAGTAACTTAAGCTGCTGATGAAACGTAAGTAGAAGAAGAGAAGACAGGCCATGCCAAGCACAAGAGCAAGAGTAGCATACAAGTTGTTACAGGTTAAAGGCAAGAATTCTTACCACGAAATTTAATAGTTGGGTCTTCAAAGATACAGTTCTCAGCATAAATTGAAGAAGTGAAGTTCCCTAGTTGTCAAACAAAAGTGAGAAATGCGTCCACTAAATTATCCGTATAATTCATTTCTACAAGCGCGATCCCGCTTCATCATGCATGCAAAAATTAAGTGACACCGGACCAGGAAAAAAGAAAAAATGATGTCATTATTGTAATAATAAAGTAGATGCAAGTTAAAAAAACATTAGCCAGAAGATGCTAAACGGGGGAAGGATAATGTCAAGAGTTTATAGAATATACAAAATACAGTTAGACGTCATTGTTAGAGTACCCAGATTATACACACCGTAATATTACCTAAGACTACTTTATATTAGGAATGCATAAACTAATAGAAAAGAAACTTGTAACAAAATGTTTTTCTAAGAGGAAAATGAAAGAAAGTTACCTGTTACGAAATAAGCGTTGTCGTAATCAGATTTTATGATACTGAGAACATCATCGACGGTTGAAATTGAGAATTCATCTCTCTGTTTCTGAAAGCTGCATAAAAATAAGTAAGTAATCAGTAAATATTAAGATGATGGTAAGAAATGAAGGTTGGAGACTGAGTAGGCATAGATACCTTGATTGATTCAAAGAAGGAGAGAAAAGCCTCAAGAGCTCCGTCACTCCGCTCACCGCTATTTTCAGTATCTGAGGGGTTTCTCTTTCACTTTCACTTTCACTTTTTTTATTCATACTTGCATAAGTCTTCATGCTTTTGGGCATGTTAGCGTTTGAGCACCTTTGGACGCTATGATTCCTTCGAAACTGCAATTGCAATGTCACAGCATAAATCAGATAAGCAAAAACGAATTTCAAAAGCCTGAATTTTAACCTCAGTGTATATATATAATTAGATTAGATTTGTTACCATGTAACAATAGTAGTACCTGGTTGCGTGAAGGTAGTAGAGGAGGTGTTCCACTGAAGCACCATATTTTTGCCATTTCTGAAGACACTTACATTCATATCATATCATCACTTGTTCATTTAGATTAAGGTTGTTTTACCGGTTTTCAGTTCCTTCGTTTTCTCTGTCGGAACACCACCAACATAACATTCGCTAAATAATATGTGTGGCCAAGGCTTGTCTCACTCTCTACGGGATTTGGGTTCTCAATTGCTCACTACATCAAATCAAACCACCCAGTTTTAGCCACACGAATCGTCTCCACTGCTCCATCTGTTTATCTTTATTTTTCTAGTTTACTTTATATCCAAATCTATTAGCAGTTTTTTTTTCTAATTCAATATTTGTGTAAACATATTTTCTAGCATTGGAGTAAACAAATCTATCCTCATCCAATAAGAAATTTTGATAGATACAATTTTTAAAATAATTATTGTAAAAAATAATTAACTTAAGTGTATATCAATTTTTAATTGAAATAAAAGTTTAAAAATCTTTTATAGTTAGACGTTCTATTTTCTCGTATATCAAAGATTCTATTTTTACTTTATTTTTGGTTCAAAACTACTCCCTACGGCTATGGTTGCGTTACAGATCTCAGAACTTATATTGCACATGCACTCGTCGTGTTCTGGTACGCTCAAGATCTACTATTAATAAAAAATATTAATTGGCTTATAAAAAAAATATAATAAATTTTTCAAAGGTAACTAACTAGTACCTCTAACATAATTCGAATAGCAATTATTCATTTAACAATGACTGCATGCACCGCAACTTATAGACACCGGATATTAGAACTATGAACAACACATCGAAACAATTATTTCTGAAATTACTTTGATTGAATATACATTCTAAAATGTTGCATACGAAAAGAACAAACTTGCTTCATCTCAACTTTGACTACTCCATACAGAAATTTCTCATACTAGGCTCAATTCATCTTTAGTATTTGTAAAATTTAGGTCGTCTTTGAACTTGGCATCAAGCTCCTTCCGCAATGCCACCAATCCTTCCCCGGCATCACAGATATAGGCCGAAGCTTGTCTGCCAGATAAAGTTGCACCTTCCATGCTGTCTATGTAGTCCTGAACAAAATAATATCTCTCTCAGCCGTGCAAGTAAATAAATAATAAAAGTGAGTAATATCGATGCAAGCTACATTTCACAACTGTAGTGAAACTGGAATAAACATTCTGCAATTGCTGGCTGGACATAGCAAAATTGTAAGAGCTCACTAAAATTTTAGCATTGAGTTCAGTTAATAGATAAAAAAGGTTGAACACAAATTTGAAAGGAACAATTAAGTTTATTCAGTAAATTTGGCCAAGTTACATCTCAGAGATGTGGTGTGGGCATGCATTAGTAAAAGCAATACTGATCTCTGTTAAAAAACATGCACACTGTATAAATATTTAGTGTTGTATCCTCGTACAGTTTTCCAAAAACCAATTTACTAGATTAGGAGCGAAAGTAGGGAATGTCAATTGTCAGTCCTATAAAATTATTTTTATCTAAAATATCCTTTTTTTCTTTGTTAATCAAACTATTAATTTTGAAAAAATAATTATAGAATTTAATTGAACAAGAGTGTCAATAAATTCATTGGAGTGGCAACAGACACCAAGAATATTTTTTAATCCTGAATCCGGGAACTGAAATAAGAAGAAAATACACAATATTTCATAGTAGACGTTGGTACCATAACACAGTAATCCCATTCACACGAATAGAGCAGCAGAAATTTATTGTCAGTTTCATAAAAGCCACTTCACTTTCTAAATTTTTTTCATAGGTCAAACCAAAAGCCCAGAGGGGTCTATACAAGAATTTAAAGGTAACTGACTCCTGTACGATCAAATACACTTCAGCAAAAAACATCTTCATAACATGAAATTTTAAGGGCTAAATATTATATGCATAGAAGAAGCACAAACTATAATGCTAGTCAAGAAAGTGTACCTGTTTTGTGTAAGAGCCAGCGAGAAAGAAATTCTTCACTGGCGTCTTTTGATCTGGCCTAAATGGATCTTTGCCAGGTCCCTCGCGGTACAGAGATTGGCCAATTTTAACAACAGAAGACCAAGTCACTTCCAAACCTTGAGATGATGGGAACAGTGCCAAAACCTAGTAAAATTGTTACAAATTAACATAATGATAAAGAGAACTGAATATCTACCATTGACTTAAAAACACCGAAAAATAGACTACAAAATGAAACCTGTGATGTGGTTTATGATATAAATAATATAAAATGCTCTGTTGATGAATCAAACCAATCCAACCAGGCACCAAATTAGCAGCATTAACAAATATGCACCAAATGAACAAGTACCAATCCAAACAGTAACCACATTTGTGATCCATATATTGAAAGGATAGCTTGTAATTGTGTGTTGTATACACATACAACACACATGAGTATTTTTATTTATAATGAAGAGATACAATAATAAAAAACAAAATTAATAATTAATAAAGAGAAATATTTGACAAAATATCTCCCTATTCGATGAAATTTTCAAAAACAGAATAAGAGAAATAGATTTTCTTTTAACTAACCTGTTTAGCTACCCTTGCAATGATTTCGTCATTTGATAAGGGCATGTATGGATCTCCTGGGGTCAGAACACATCTGACAGATATAATAACATTATATACTTAGAAGGCCAATACTTAATCAAATATTTTATGCATGATGATGACAATATTTTAATAGCATGAAAAAATTACTCATTAATGGCTTCATATTGGAAAATAGAACCAGTAAATCTGATGTATTTATAGCCATGGAAACAAAAGCAAATTATGAAGCAATGGGATCATTAAGATCTTAAAATATAGTCCAATTTTTCAATACTCTTGCAAATATAAGTTCTTTTTATTGTTCCATGTATATAATTATGATTATGCTGCCTCCAGAACATTCAAGCAAGTCACTTAAAATCCTTCGTAAAATTTATGTTCCAGTTAGTTAATGAACTCATGAGTGAAAGTGAAATTACAAAAACTTACTGGAGCAACGATCCTTGTCCCTCAATGTAATAATCTTCTGGAGATGAAAGGGCCAGGTCTGCAAAGCAAGAAAAATCTGCATCGGGTGTGTAGAGAAGGTTATCCAACCCAACAGCTGTCCTCAGTTGCCTGACATCCAGATTGTAAGGGTGCATGAAGAAGTTGAACAATAATAATCAAAGAAAAATATATCAATCTTTATTGTCAAAACAAAAGTACCTCACTTTATAGTTTCTATATGAATCCTAAAATTCAGAGAATTACCTTGACTTTTCTAGATCCTGCAACTCTGTAACCCAACCATTGTATCTGAGTTGCACAGTGACTACAGGAACTCCAACTAGTTCATAGATATTATTGAAAAACTCTTGTTCCCTCCACTCTGATGGAATTAATCTCTTGATTCCGGGGACATCACAAGCTGGCATAATGTAAATGATAGTAAGGCATTGAAGATTGTTGGCACAAAAAGGAATAAATACAAAATCCAAGGAAAAGTAATCCACTAACCAGCAACGTAAACATCAGCTTTCACAATTTTCTTGGCAGTAGCCTGTGAAAATAAAAATTAACAAGGTATTAGCTATAAGGATTTTCACAATGTCACTTGGACTATAACCAAGCATGTAAAGATTTCAAACAGGAAAGCAGATATCACCTTCGACATGGAAAGTCCTGTAACATAAATACTCCCATCAACGGATTTGTCATAAAGTAGTTCTCTGCATCCCCACCTAAGGTGGAATCTGTTACACCAACGTATGAGGATATATATAGGAAGAAATTGGGATAGTCAGGATGGAAATATGCTTGTATCTAGAACTATACCTGCCCCCTCTATCCGTGATGTACTTCCTGATGGGGCCACTCAGATAAACGTCTGGTGAACCCTTCAGCATTCGCAAAAGTGAAGCCTCAGTCTTTGTGGCAAACAATGCGAATATGGTGAGCATGCAGCGGGCACTGATATTATCACAGTCAATAAACCCAAGGGCATAGGCAACTGGATCCCACATTTTTTGAATACTCATGCGTGTGCCACCTTTAGATAAAAACCAATCTGAAAAGCTAATCTGTAACAAAAGCATAATTGGTTAAAAGAACAAGTTTTTACTTTGAGAAAGATGATTGACAAACACAATCAATACAAAGAGAAACAGTAAGCTTAGATTCCAGGGCAGCGAGTATTGGTATTTTAACTTTTTAGTGTACACAAAACCTTCACAATTACCCCTATTGTATGTGTGTGCATGTATGTATATGCTGTGTGGATGGGCATGAGCATGTTTAAGAACACAGAAACTGGGGGCACAGATAATCATGAAGCATTATTCCGAAATAGACCAAAAAATAATGAATCCTCACACTATCCAAATTCCTTATGTCCCTCAGTGCACCATCTGGATCGACAAGAGCTTTGACAACTGGACTCAGTGCAAGAGCCACAGCATTTCTAGCCTTATCATAGGACTGTTCATTAAAAATATGTGAAGTTAGGTACAATGATAGTCTCACTGAGGAAAATCAAATGAAAAGGTACACTTTTTTGGACATTCAAATAACTATTTTCTAGTTCTGCATAATACTGATGCGTGATGACCAAGTCATGTAATTTAAACAAACATGATAATAGAATAAACAGTGTGATTACATTAAGCTGATTTGTGGTCAAAAAAGCCCTTATCCCGTGTATTGGTGCTCCAACTGGGAATCGAAAATCTAGTTCTGCACACGAAAACTAAGTTATGAATGCACTGCTCTCATTGAAATTGCGGGAGAGACAATGAACAAAAATGAAGCAAGGTATTGTAGCACAAAACATACCTCCAATTTGACCTCCTTTGTTAACAAAAGTGTGTGTGTGATCCTTCACAAGTAGATTGTTATGTGCACCCACCTAGTCATCCAAGCATTGAAGAAGTTACGAACACACAGATAGCATGAAAATCTACACAGAAAATAAAGTGAGCAGTACAGGTTTCATGGGGGAAAAAAGAGGGACCTGTTTTAGAGACGAAGAAGAAAGAATATTCATTTGACTGCAATTGAAAACAGCTTACCTTCTTCATCAATCGGAAAAGATTGTTGTAGCAACCAAAGAAAACATGCAATCCCATTTCAATGTGATTCCCACGTTTGTCAACAAAGGAACCAACTTTGCCACCAATAAAAGACCTCGACTCATATATATCAACCTGAATGATAGAATTTTGAAGAAAACATATAATAAATAAAATGGATAGCTGTAAAACTTAATGCACTCAACACCTGAATTACAAAATAAAACAAACTAACCAACGATCAACGAATCACTCCCCTTTTCTTCAAAAGCAACTTTACATATAACATACCACAACATCCAATTTCAAAATATTACGATTAAGAGACAAACAGAGGGGAAGGAGCTAAACCTCGTGGCCTTGATCCAAGAGTTCCACTGCAGTTGACATGCCTGCAAGCCCAGCTCCAACAATAGCCACTTTCAGCTTCGGTCCTCGATAATGTTCAGGTTCGGGCGGAAACAACCCTTTTGGCGCTGCCATGTCAAAATTACACTTTAACAAAAAATTATCCAAACTTCGTGACATATCCCAGACTCACCATGCCTTTAATTTCCCTTTCCTCCAACACTCCCCAAAATGATAATTATTAGATAAAAACAAACACTGCTAAGATAAGTCTAACATCGAAAATTAAATTCGAGTTCCACAAAATGAAGGGGAAAATACCAACCATTAACGCTCATGTCGGAAACATTATCATCTAAGGAGCAACGAACCCGACACTTGTGGGTCTTGGTGAAACGGGCAGAACAGGGAGCAAAGAAGGCAGCAGAGTCTCCTCTTCGAGTTGCAGAGAATGAAGTAGCCGAACATTGAATCATAGAAGCCATAGCCATAGGCGAAAACAAAAACACAACAACCGACTTTGGCGCAAAGGAGGAAGGAGGTTGTGTTTGAGAAGCAAATTGGGGTATCTGAAAACGTAGGTTGGAGGAGATGCCGGGAATGCGAAATTTGTCTTGTAGCAGAGAGGATTGAAGATTGTGAGTGGTGATCACACGCAAATTAGAGGATGTATGAATTATTAATACAAATAATAAATAATAATAATAATAATAATTGCAATTGAATGAATGTGTTGGTGTTGGGTTTGCCTATTCTACTGGAAATTGGAGAATGGAAGTGCCACTGCCACTTTCCATTAGCGATAGATAACTGACCAATGCCACCTCCTTACTCTCCCAGACTCTCCCTTTTTGACTCTTTTCCAACTTCACCACATTTTTTATTTTCTTTTATCCTTCCTTATTATTTTCTTGCTTAAGGCATGTCGTACGGAGTTACGTGTCCATGTTCTTTTTCCCTTTTTCTCTTATCTTTCGCACACCGTTTTTATTTGAAAATCCTATGTATTAAGTTCTCTATGATTTTTACATTTTCGTCCAATTATTTATTTATTGTCATCACTCTAAGATTTAAGAGATCATTCATTTAAAATAGACGATTATTTATAACAATATTTCAATATAAAATTTATTAATGAAAATGATTTAGTACAAAAATAATTTAACAGAGTTTTGATTGATAAACATGTCATTCATTACTTAACATCCTTTCAGAAAACATATTAAATCTTTATCTCTATTTCTCCCCTTTATTTAAAGTAATTAATGTGATCATTTAATATATAATTAAGGTAAACACATGTAATTAGTATATATGATTTAATTTTATTAAATGCAATATAAATATTAAATATCTTAGGAATTTTTTATTAATGCTTAAAGTAATTAATGTAATTATTAAATACACATAATTAAGCTAATTACTTGTATTTTATTATATAATTTACTCTATCAAATATCATTGAAAATGTTATACTTTTTATAAAACATATAATTATATCTATTATGATAATTGTAAGCATAAATGACAAATCAAAATCTGTAATGATTTTGATCTAACAACAAAGCCATAGATTTTTTAAGATTAAATAAGGTTCTCCATAGTAAGACAACGGTGGTGCTTTGTCTTAAATATTTTGTTTAATCAAGGGATAATATTGAAAAAGGAGCCACTAATTATAAAAACAAACTATATAAATATTTACTTTACTAAATTTTTTTTTCTCTAATCTAATTATAGCAATCAATAAACTAATATCTTGAAAGAAAAAAGGAAAAAAATCAAGTATCAATATGTATTATAAATTATTCTACCAAATATTAGCTATATAGTAAATCATTTATAAAATATATTATATTATCATAATGAGCAAATTAGTGAAAGCTTAAATCTTATATATACAAGATATTATTTTATTTTTTTATGTCTAATGATCATAAAGACAATCATATATCATTCAAAGTCATAATAATAAATTTGAACTCAATATTTTATAATTTTCATTATTTGTGTTCCTCTTTCAAAAACATAGTCACTCATTTATTCATAAACTTATTCTTTGTATAGTGTTTCAACCTGTAATTCTGAGACATCTATCACTCATAAACACATAGAGATACCATTGACCATATTTCTCCTTTCTTTTTTTAATGTTTCTTTTTTTTTTTGTTATTTATTTATAGGACATAAGAACAAAGTTTATGACATGCTTTCCATATTCTTTTAAAAAATTAAATCTCTTCGTCATCTATCAATTTTTTTTTTAATTTCAAGTTACAAAGTTAAAGTTTTTCTTTAGAATAATGGACTGTAACATAAAGAGTATTGAAAATATTATATTTCCATGTGCAACTATGTATAAACAATATATACTATTTCTTGTATCAAAATTTCACCATCAAAAAGCTTTATTCTTAAAAGTCATGCTTTTTTTTATATATACACCAAAGGATTGCACCACAATAATTTTTCCGTCAATAAATTTATAATACTAAGAGAATTTTTTTATAAATAATTAAGTTATAAATGTAATATTCATTTGAAAAAAAATCCCTGTTAATCTCAATTTGAATAAATTAAAATATTTTAATCAAATCATAATAGATTTATTATTTTATTAATAAATATAATTCTATTAATTATTTAATTAATAAATATTAATACGTAACTTATTTAATTGAAAAATATTAGAATTATTGATTTAATTAATTAAATATTATTTATTTATTTAATATTATTTGATTAGTAAAATTTAATTTATATATCATTTATATAAAAAATATTAATTTATTAGTTTTTATTAAAAATATATTATATATCAATATATTTTTTTATTAATTATTTAATTAATAAATATTAAGTAATTCATTAATTATTTAAATAATAAATAATATATTCAACAGTTAAACACTTCTTAAAAAAATGTTTACAATAAAACTATATCATGTATTTAATATATTATTATGATATTTCATATAATATATTTTATCTCATATATTTTTTCTTACATATGATAGTAATTTCATAAAAAAAATACAGTAAACTTTTTTATTTAAAAATATAAATAATATAATCATAACTTAATTTATTATATATTACTATTATTATTATATTAAAATAGAATTATAAAATGGGTAGGTAAAAAAAATGGATGGTTGACTATCAATGTTCTAAAATTTTACTTCATTTTGCCATACGGAAATTTCAATAGATATTTGTTTAATTAATTTTATATTATTATATATTTTTATTATATATTTTTATATAATTAATTTATTAAAAATGTTTTAAATTTATAAAAAATAAATGAGTTAATTATTATTCTATAGATACAAAATTCAATTTAAAAAAAAGTATTTATTGAAGACAAAATATCATGTGTGTGCAGGGACCAGGCAACCCACACAGATCAGAAAATTGGAAAGAGAATGGGTGAGGGTCCGGAGCATGCCGTGGTGGAGTTGACATTGAAGGATGCGAGTCTTCGCAGAGTCTTCGCATAATATTATTTTAAATTATAATTTTAATATTTATAGCAAAAGCTTGTGTTTAAATAAATGACATTTTATAACTAAGTCACAGTTCCAATTAACTACAATATTAAAAAAGTGATACATATTAGATTTAAATATAATACAACTTTTCAACTTTCAAAATTTTTATTCAAAAAAAAAATATTTAATATAAAGAAGTATTTCCGATAAATTTATATTTTTGTATATGTTAAATTAATATAAGTACTAATTTTTAATTATTAATATATAAATTATAAAAAAATTATTAATAAGTCTCACTATCGACAAAAAGGAATAATTGAAACCAAAATTATATAAAAGTCCCCTGGAGTAATACAAATGGTTTATGAAGAGAGTGAGAAATTTATTTGGTAAATATTATTGAATATATTATTATGTTTTAGGACGGATATTTTCGTCAATAAAATCAGTTTTTCTTATAAACTTAACCAGGTATAATAAAGGTGACGATTTGGAAGGTGTGAAAGAAAGTAAAGAATGAATAAAAAATAAAAAATTATAGGTGTATGTGATTAATGTGATTGTTATTATAAGAGTTGGTAGTTTTCTAATGTTCAAAATATCTTGTAATTTCAAATATTTCATAGAGAAAATAATGAAAGTTGGTGAAAAAAACAAAAATAATTTTTTACTTTAAAATTAATAATAAAAAATAAAATTAAGCCTATTAAATATAACCAACCATAAAACAATAGATAAGAAAAGAAATATTGAACAAATTTTTGGTAAAAAATAAATTATTTGCAAAATATAATTTATTATGTTTTAATAAAGTTAATTAATAGATAGTGTAATCAAGATGATTGAGTTATACACATAATTATTTAGTGAAGATAAATTATGCATGTAAAAAAAACAATGAAAAAATGATAAAAATAAGAACAATGATAAATATTTGATTGCATTAAGAAAAAAAGATATATATAAATTAATTTAACCTATTTTATTCTACGTGACATGATATATAAATTAATTTATTAATAAATAATTAAAAAGAAACTAAAATATACAAAATAATTTGTGAGCATTATTACGTGGGATTTTCTTCTTAATGTGTGTGGAAACTTTATATAGTTATATATCAATTAAAACAAATTGATTATGCTATAGTCATCATAAATTATAAAAACTAAGAACAAGGAAAGTATTAAAATTAGACAACGATGTTTAATCAATTTCAACAAATAACGTGACATTATACACTACAAAAAAAAAGCCTATTACCTACAGAATATTACCTACGGATAAAAATCCATAGGTAAATTTTACATTACCTACGGATATTACCCACGGATGAAAATCCGTAGGTAAATTGTACATTACCTACGGAATTCTATCCGTGAGTAATTATCCATTACCTACGGATATTATCCATAGATAATTTAATCCGTGGATAATTCCGTAGGTAATTACCTACGGATATTACCCACGGATGAAAATCCGTAGGTAAATTGTACATTACCTACGGAATTCTATCCGTGAGTAATTATCTATTACCTACGGAAATTATCCGTAAGTAATTTAATCCGTGGATCATTCCGTAGGTAATTACCTACGTAGGTAAAGTGTACATTACCTACGGATATTATCTATGGAATTCTATCCGTAGGTAAAGTGTACATTACCTACGGATATTACCTACGGAATTCTATCCGTGAGTAATTATCCATTACCTACGGATATTATCCGTGGGTAATTCCGTAGGTAAATTACCTATGGAATTACTATCCGTAGGTAAATTATATTAAACTAAAAGAATTGTCACTAGCAAGAATCGAACCCAATACCTTAAAGTTGAAAACTGATATTCCAACCACTAAACGATTAGGATATTCTAATAATAATTTACAACTAAATTATACTTATATTTATTCGTGTAAATATATAAATACATAAATACATAAATATATAAGTATATAAATATATAAATACATAAATATATAAATATAAATATA